TATGGCATTATTTATTAATTCATTTGGCCCCAAATGGCTGAATTGGTTTTAAATTTTACATTCCATTTTCATCATTAATAAAAACATTTGTTGTTTATCATACTTATTATTGTTTAATATGTATGTTAAAAATGTTCCCAATTTTTTTTCATTTTATTATTTAATCGTGGCAACATGGATTGACCCATTTGACCCAAAATGGTTTAATTTCTTACCACCACCTAAATGAAAACACTATTTTTTCTAAGTAAATTTTAAAAGTATAAGCTTTTATGTTATTAGAATTATTAATTTATTAAGTACGGATTTAATTAATTGAACAACAAAAATGACTTAAATATATGATTCAATGAACATGAATGCAAATTAATAACTTAAATGTTGGATTAAATGAGAGGGAATTGAATGATTGAATATCTTAAAACTACCTCTTTTCAATTCATTTAATATCAATAACTGATTACCCTATTTGCCCTCATTTTTTATCAATAAATTTAAATATTGAAGGGTAAATTTTGTCCTCAAAAAATTCCAAAAATATTTTTTAAGTCATTCGTGCTTTTTAAAGTAGTATAGATTTGGTGCTATGCACCATTAATAACTTTCCCCTAACCCCTTTTTCTCCAAAGTGCTGATTATGAGATTTGATTCTGCATCAACACTGGAACAAATCAGCTAGCACACCAACGAGTCAGCTCTTGGTTGGCTCACTGAAGTCCTATTGTACCCATCCATCTTAGTAAGCCAATCTGCGTGCAACCTAATTAATCTTCCTTTGTGCAATGTGCATGGGAGTATTTTACTTGCATAATCTCTTCTCTTACAAAGTATTTGCAGTCATTGATCTATTCTGCATGCTCAAGGAGTCGTGGATTTGTTCATTAGGCAGTCAGTTACGAATTTTGAATCTCATTCAACCCATATTTCAGACCACTTGGATTCCTGTTTGCTTTGCTTTGTATATGCGCCTCCCTTGCCTCCAAGCTTTAGGTATGTTGATCAACATGGCTCCAACAAATTTTGATATACTCACAAATACCTACACCTGCTGGACCTTCTTTATTATTTCTTGATGCTGTAACTGCTGTTGATCTTTATTTGATGACACCTGAGTGTTTCTATTTGATCCCTATCTGCCTCTATTTGCATTTTAGGATTTCTCCCTTTTATCACAGCTTTCATTAAATTCATCATACATATTTGTTCGGTCTCTTTTCACGTGACACATACTGTTATTGTTACATCATACATGAAGCTGCTGTAAATTGCCTAACAGGTAACAGCAGAGCATATTGGTTTTTGACCCTTGGGATATGCTAAATACTAGGAATTAAGGACGTGTCAAATTGTTTAGTAACAATAGGTGTAAAATAATGGTGTTTATACATGGTTATTAATTATATAACTGTGAGTAATCTATGCTTGTAGTCAGCTCCAAACTGATTTTTCAGTGTCAAGTACATCCACATCGATACACTTAAACCTCCTCCTTAGGTAGGGTGTTCATGAAAAATCAAAAAATTGAAAAATTAAACTGAACCACAAAATGTAGTTAATCGAATCGATCGATTCGATTTTAGTTTGGAATTTTTGAAAAATCAAAGAATCGATACGGTTTTCGGTTAACCTATAAAAAAATGACGGTTAACTGAACCGATCGGTATATATATTTATATATATTTTTAATATATGTCACATATTTTCTATGTATTATATATAAATATATATTCATTATATATATATATATATACTTATATTATATTTATAATGATCTATTTATAAATATATTATATATTTTTAAAATATTTATAATATATTATACATCATTTATTATTTATAATATAATATTATACATATATTTATATAATATATATTATAAATATAAAAAACCGAAGAACCAAACCGATCAAAAACTAAAACCGGCGGACCGGTTAACCGGTGGTACCAGTTCAATTTTGGTTTGGCAAAATGAAAAAACTGATACCACCGGTTCAATTTACAAAAAAAAAAGGCCATAGTTTGATTAATGGAACTGTGGACACCCCTCCTCCTCGTTGAGAGAAAATTGGAGAAAGAATAGTCTTTTGATGCTATCTTTATACCTGTAGTTATTATTGAATCTTAAGCTTTTAATATCATGCTGTTGTTAGTAATCCAAATAAATAAGAATGAAGTGGCCGTTTGATAACAACCAAAGTAGCTGAATTAAATGGCTTATTGCTGACGAATGATTACTGAGTTATGAACTCCTTAATTCCTGAAGGTTAGGATGGCTGAGTGGTCTAAGAAGCCAGACTCGAGTTCTAGTCTTCAAAAGATGGCGTGGGTTCAATTCCTACTTTTAAGTCTTTTCTGCTTTCATGGTGTTTTCTCTGTCAAATGCCTTACTATGATAAAGTTTAGGATGGCTGAGTGGTCTAAGAAGCTAGACTCGAGTTCTAGTCTTCAAAAGATGATGGGTTCAATTCCTACTTTTAAGTCTTTTCTGCTTTCATGGTGTTTTCTCTGTCAAATGCCTTACGATGATAAAGTTTTATTTGGATTTAGTGTAAAACGTTATCAATGTAAAAGTACACTGATGACGTTTTATACTGAATCCATATAATAGGTGATCGTTACATTTTGAAAACCGTGATAAAAAATTGTAAGGTTTTATATCGATAAAATCAATGTAGTATTTATATCGATAATCGATATAAAACTTTATGCTTGACTAGGTTTTATATCGATTCACAATGTAAAACTTCGCTCTATCCAAACGCCAATAAACCTAAACCGGAGTAGAATTTTACATCGATCTTCATTTTCTTCCAAACGCCAACAAAACCAAACCGATGTAAACTTTTACATCAATCTTGATTTACACCAGTTCCAAATGCAGCAGCCTTAAGGCAATCTAGCTTCCCAAGTGGTAAGTGATAACCAAAATTATTTCTTGGATTCAAAAGTTACAAAATTTGGCCCCCTGTCCCCATCAAGCAGACTTAAATGGACTTTGGTCAATTGAAATTCCAATAAACTCTAAGTCCATTGCTGCTAGAACGGTTAGATGGATCAAATGGGTTCCACGGGCTTCAAATTTAATTAAGTTAAATACTGGTGGTGCTAATAGAGGCAATCCAGGTTCGGTTCTATTGGTGGTAGAGGTATTACTAAAAGCCACGGTGGTAGGTTCGAATAAACTCTAAGCCCATTTGTCCATGCTTTTAGAAAAGCCACTAAACCAGCTGACGCTCTTGCAAGGGCATTGAAGAAGGTAACTTCACACTCTCTATCATCTTCCAGATAATGTTAGAAGACTTCTTACTGAAGATAATTTTGGTTTACCTACTGTTACTGCCCGTATCCGATGAAAATAATTTTAATGTTTGTCTGTTTGGGGGGGTTGATTTTTCCTTTTTTTTTGGTATTCGGTGCCATGCACCATTAATAATTTCCCCTTTGACCCCTTTTTTTCCCAAAGTCTTGGTTGTGGGATTAGATTATGCGTCAACGCTAGAATAAATCAGCTAACACACCAACGAGCCAGTCCTCGATTTGGTTGGGGGTTGAGTTTGTGAGTTGAGATTTTCTGCCAACAAAACACATTTCAACCCTTCACCAACTTGATCTAACACCGGACATCTCACCATGAGATTGGGACCTGCTATGTATGAAAGTGCGGTGTAAGATCAAGTTGGTAGAGGGTTGGAACGTGTTTTGTTGGCAAATGAACTGAACTCTTTGAGTTTGTGAGGGAGTAGCTTGTATTCTCAAGTTGGGATCACAGGCCAACAAAACAAAAACAAGTTCCAACACCCTATCAACTTCATCTAATACCATACATCTTACTATAAAACTGGGGCCTATCATAAAAGTAGAACCTGCCATATATGAGATGTGCGGTGTCAGATGTTGGTGGTAGGGTGTTGAAACATATTTTGTTGGCAGGTGATCAGAACGGGTTATGAGACATGGTGGGTTACACGCCTACATCCTCCTCTTTATCTCTGCTTTTTCTTTATATATATTTGATACAATTGGGAGATCAAGGAAACAAAGAAAGAGAATGATCGGCTAGGTAATATTACTCGAGTCATCCAAAATGTTTTTTTGAACTTGATTTAGTCTATTTATTAGATTTTTCTTTTTTTCGAAGGTATCTAGGATTTGTTCCATTTTCTTAACTCTTTGTCCAGGTTGTTTCTCTTTTTAACAAATTTGATGGCCCTAGAACCATCAACTTCAGTATTTCAACCTCTACTTACAAGTTACAACTTCAAAATTATTTGGATTTGTAAACCACATAGCAACGAACTTGAAAGGTTTAGTACCTATGAAATTAGCCAAGCTTGTATGCAGAAGGAGGGGAATGGTTTGAAGTAGAAAAAGATAAATTGGAGAGAAGAGCATTTGAAAATAAGCCTCTCCAAACTTAGTTTACATTTTACAAAGATCCAATCAATTCTTTTTAAAATATTTTTGTTTTTCCAAATAAAATGATTTCCTTTCATTTCCAACTTCATATTTTTGATAAAAACTATTGATCTAGTCAAAGATCAGCTGATTGGGGGTGGTTGAACCATTGACCTATCTAACCTATAGATCAACGCTATTTTGAATATTACAAGATAAGGGTCAAGCCTATGCCAAAGCCAACTCCAAAATTTACTGGAAGATGCCTACACCCGTCTTGAACTCGACCCGATTGCTAGGTCCATGGGCGTGCAAATTAAAGGTTCTCGGACGGCACCTAAATGGCTAAATAGGTATTAAAAAATGTAATCTCTTTTAAGGTTTTAATAAGATTTTTTTTTTTTTTTTTTTGAGCAGAGAGTATTAACAAGAAAAATTATGTGGGCTTCTTTTTAGGAAAAAAACGTTATTTTAAAAAGAATCTAGAGTCCGTATCCACAATTTCCCCGTCGCTTCTGACAAAAACCGTGTGCTCTCCACCCCTCGAATTCAAAGCACACCCAACCCAAACCAAAACCCTGTCCCCTCCCCTGCCGCTAGTTTTCCATTTCGACTTAAATATAACCCCTTCAAATTCTTATTGTGATGGAACCCAACAAAATACAGATTCATATCTGACCAAAAATATCAGAGAAGAACATAAGATGTGCAGGTCGAGCGACGCATTCTTCTATCGGAGCGAAAGAGATTTCTTGAAGATCAGAGCGTTTTACCTTCGATTATCAATCTCTAATGCTCAAACGCCCCTTCCCGAATCACTCACCCTTCTATATCTCCCTCGCATCGACGGAAGCTCTCTCGAGATCAACGACTCCAAGATCCGACCTGATGCGGCAGCATTCGTCTCCCTCCACCGACTCATATCCACGGACGGAAGCAAGAACGGCCATATTGAGGAAGCCGTATTCGCGAGCAGAGAACGAGTTCGAGTGAGCCAAGGGATCCAATTCGAAGTGTACATGAGGGAGGACAAAGTGCTGATGGGAATCTTCAGGAAGTATGATGAGGGGGAATGGAAAATGGAGTGCAAGTGCGTGATGGAATGCGAGTGCGTCGGGTTCCAGGTGTCGGAGGCCGAGGTCTGTGTTGCGTTGGATGGACAGGTGGCCATGAATGAGAAGGTGAAGATGGGGGTGCGGAGTAAGAAGAAGGCCAGAGGGTTCCGAGGGTTAGAGGAGATACCAGAAGAGAGAGAGGTGATGGACGGTTACTGTTATCGTGGTTGCTTCTGCGAGTACGAGGAGGAGCAGCAACAGCCGGAGACGGAATCGTCCGGTGAACACCACAATGAAGAGGATGGTAGCGAGGAAGAGATGGAGATGGAATTGGGGGGAGTGAGATGGGCCGTTGATTTAGGGATTTGGGTCATGTGTTTGGGAGTAGGGTACCTGGTTTCCAAGGCCTCGTCCAGAAGTTTATTAAATTTAAGGCGTGGAAGGATTTTATGAGATTTTTCACTCTTTTTTTTCCCTGATTGGGTCATGTATACAGTTTTTCAGCAAACAAAAGAGTGTAAATAGTAGAATTTGATCATCTGGTCATCTGGTGTTAATTGATATATTATATGGCATGGCACCCAATTTCGACACCCGAAATTCTTAATTAACTTTGAAGAATTTTGTTTCCTCTACTTTATTATTCGTGAAGCAAACTCAGCAGATCATAAATTTGCTATGTTTGGCTTTTAAGTCTAATGGAAAGTTGATTTATCAAAACAAAAAAGAGAATTTATTCGTGAATCAACCCAAACCAGGTTTATATAAAATAAGTTGATTTTCGGACTTTTTTTCGATACAAACACAACTGTAGTGTAGATTGAAAGGTGTTTTTGACAAAGCCGGAAGCAGAGCAATAGGACAGGAGACAGTATAGTGTACAGATCATGGAACAACCGGCGCCCGTTTGTTCAACAACTGCAACCTCCCAATATTAATAATCAATAATTGAGTTCATGCATATATTGGTATTGGTCAGTACCTCTAGTAGTCCCGACTTGCCACCTCATCACCTCTCATATTTAGATTCATTGAATGAAATGAATCTGATGTCCTGTCCAATTCCAACTCCATCTCAAGTGATAGAAATTGGAATTAGATATTCACAGGTTATGTTCATGGAATCAAACCTTCCTATCCTGTACACTGTGCAAAGAGACTGATCCAATTGATTGCTAGTTGATGGACCCAGTGTCCACCACACCAATTTACATTTACATTATACGTTAAAACTTAAAAGTGGCTACTTGATTAATTTACTAGACTGTCTGAACCTTATCTGTAGATAGAAGAGCTGAGATCAATTGATCCGAGTTATTATATACGGTGGTAATCGACAATGCCTTAGAACTGGTCTAGGTTGATCCGTGGGAAAGGGTGTACCGTGTACGTTGGGCTGGGCCACCCAGAGATCCAGTTGACCAGTTATTTGATTGAGCTGAACCAAACTTTTACACGCTTGGCCCGGCCCCGGGCCCCGTCCAAACCTTATGGCTGAAAATGAGTTTGGGCTTAAACCTGACCTTGGTCAAGCCCGAGGTGCTGACATGACATATTAGTTTCGTCAAGCTATGTTTGGTAAGTAGCAGCTCACTGCCCACCCACCATCCTGGAAGATGTTGACCCTCTTTTGGCATGAAAGAATAATCCATTGAGGGGTAGTTGATCTTGATAATAGTGAGTCTGATCCCTTCCTGCATGCCTTAGCTTAGCTAAATGGTGAGTTAAGGCATTATACTGTCTATTTACATAGTATATTTGACATACATCAAAAAGAGGCTTGAAGCTCTAGTACTGTAACAAAAGAAGACCGGGTCAAAATATGCTAGTGCATCGCAAAAACTGCTAACTCTTCTTATTCTTCTTCTTCTTGGCCTTCTAAAGAATAAAGACCCAGTACGATTTGACTGCCATTCAATATCAGATGGATGCTGAGCTCACAGCTAAGACCCTGTGTCCTGCTGCTGCTAGTGCCCTGCATGAATTCTGTATTAATACATATACGTTGGCAGCTCAATTACATGATTGTATAAATAATCCATCTACATTTAGGCTATACTTTAGATCCTGTGGGGGAATCCTGTCAATGCCTCTAGAAACCACTGTAACCACTGAGGTGATACCAGACATCTGTCCAGTCGTTCTCTGACTCTGGTAGAACCGTAGAATCAGTGTTTTAAAAACCAACCTGGAGTATGCAAAATAAAAAAGTTACGGCCTCCTAAAATTTGTATACACAGTTAGTATGCAACCAGCAATCTGATCACCAGGTCAAATGGGTCAACGGTCCAACTGTCTAGGTCAGACAGTTTTTGACCAAGTCAATGATTTTTTCTTTTTTTTACTTTTCTGTATTTTACTCAAACCAGACCCAAAATCTTGACCGGATGACAGTTCAAACAGTTCAACCTTTCGGATCAACAACGAGTTGAAAACACTGATTAAAACCACTTTGATTATTACAAGTGAAATAAGGACCTCTACTATTGATTTCTACAAGAATGAATTGTTCTATCATTTGTCCTAAAGTACTGAGGGAGAGTGGAATTGGGATCTATGGCCTTCGTAGTCCATTTAACACATGGTGTCAAGTCTGCATAGAGAACCAGCCCTTATCTCTTAAGAACTCCAGACTTGTCAGAGATGACAATAGGTCTTTTCTCTTCGATCTATTTGGATGCCCATAGGTTAAGAGGATATAACAAGCCTGTGTAATTGGAAAATTTTGTATTTCACAGAATATAACCCAATCATTCAGATGAAGGGTGTATTTATTCTTACATCATAATTTAATATATTACCACATTATCAGCATCCCAAAAATATATCCCAATGTAACCCATCTTCAAAAATAATGAGATTATGATTTATGAATATCAAGAATTCTCTATTTAACAATGCGTATATATAGTGTCCTTCATATTGGCAACATGTTACAGCTTTCTAGATTTGGCACATAGGGAAGTTTGATGGAAATTCTGGTCAAAGAGAACCTTCTATAATGTGGTCTTTTTGGCCCTCCCTTTTTCTTTCAGAACCTTTGACTTGCACCAAGTCACTGATTTTCAATGGTGCATTGGTCTTTACAAAACTCTCAGTCAACTTTCCCACATTGTCTACAAATAGCACTACCTTTAGCTTTCTTTTTGCAGTTTTGGTTTAATTCCTCGTTATTACCTTTCATCCTTATTTCCGTGAACTCTTTTATAGACATGCTATTTCTTGATTGCCCAACCTTCAGTTCTTTAAAGTACATTAACATTGTAGGTGCCTTATAAATATTTCCCTTCAGTTCTTCCTTTTCCATAGATAGCTCATAGTTTTATATCCTCCACCCAATTTCCCTTTAGTTTTATGATAGGTGCCATTCATATTACATCCAAAAGAATATTTCTACTCCACATGCAATAGGCTTAATCCAATTCTGTGGGTAGCATCTTCAATCTTCCTCAGTTTGGATAATTGAACCAAGTTAAAACAATAGCCTTGAGGAATCTCTTAATACAATTGCTTTAATTTACCACTCGTATATTTGAAAATGCTAAGACTTCACTTTCTAAACTAGGAACAAATTTTTGATGCAGATATTGAAGCAAGGAAAGAATCCATGGAGAATTAAATCAGTTTTCTTCCTACTCCTAAACCAATATCAGAATTTTAGGTGACAGAGATATGAGGTTTTTTTTTTAGTTTTTCAAAATTCATTTTCTAGTTTTTTGGTGTATTAAGAATAAGGTTAAGTTTTGATCTTCTAAAAATTTAGTATTCTTACTAAAAAACAAAATTACTATAGTGGCTTTCAGACGAGCTACTTATTGTAATTCCCATAATTGCTGTTTAAAGTAAAATTGTGATAGTAATTTCTCATTTCTTTACATTATGTTAATTTTAGTAGGATTAGTAATGAGTTATTAGAGTAGTTTAGAAGTTGGAGTCATTATTTAAGTGTCTCCATGTGTTTGTCTTAGTTCTAAAGAAGTTGGAAATATTTGTTGGGTCAGTTTTGTGAGTCCAAATTGGGGCGTGTAAGAGATTTGAGTTCTTATGTCAAGTCTTTGAATAGAGTCATTGTAATTAAAAATTGAAGAGCTTCAAAAATTTAGCTTAGTGAATTTTGATTGCTTCCAGTATTTTCTTTTTGCCCATCTCCCACTTCTTCTAAGTGGGCTATATTTTTTCTATTTACTCTAACAGAAAGAGTTTTTCTTTCTTTGTAATCTCATGCTCATTCCTAGGTGGACAGCTAGGTATTTACATACTTCTCCACCTATATACTATATCCTTAATTACTCAAATCACCTTTCTTCACTCTACAAAACCTACTACAAATCTGAAAGTTCTTGGACCCCCTGCCTGTCCTACATCAGTATGAATGAAAGTCGTAGTTAAAATAAAACTCCCAAAAACTCAAATTTTATTATCAGCTAATACTCTATCGGTGAAATGGCCACAGCTTTCCAAAACAACATTGGATTTGTATGATCTTGGTTTTGTTGGATATGTAACTGAAAAACCTGTTAAAATATCAACAAAGCAATCAAATTTTGACATCTAAACTGCAGGAAAAATGACAAATTACAATTTCAACTTCCCTAACACTGCATTGAAGAAAATCAGAGAAAAGAAAAGAAATTAAAAAAGAAAGAGAAAAGAAAAGACAGTTTTCCTCTGCTTTCTCTACCTTTTCTTATAAGTCAGGAAGGACTCCTCTGATTTCAGCAAGAGGTGGATTGACAGAGGAATAAGAATCTGAATTATGAGAGAAAGAGATTTAGATCTGAGAATAGAGAGGGCAAAGAAAGAAAAGGATATTTTTGGTCTGAGAGCAGTATTGCATGGACACTGACATGGGAGTTGGAACCTAATGCATATCCATGAGTCTGACTCAGCAAGACCAGAAAACATGAATTTACAGGGATGGTACAAAAAAGTATCATTGTTATAAGTCAGGAAGGACTCCTCTGATTTCAGCAAGAGGTGGATAGACAGAGGAATAAGAATCTGAATTATGAGAGAGAGATTTAGATCTGAGAATAGAGAGGGCAAAGAAAGAAAAGGATATTTTTGGTCCGAGAGCAGTGTTGCATGGACACTGACATGGGAGTTGGAACCTAAAGCATATCCACGAGTCTGACTCAGCAAGACCAGAAAACATGAATTTACAGGGATGGTACAAAAAAGTATCTACTATTAAAATAGTTCATATTTTGTGAAACTCTTTATATACCTACAAAAAAAGGGGGTCTAAAATGTTGCCTTTGTTACTAACATTTTATAGGAATAATGGCACTCATCTTGAATGTTAACCATCCATTTATGTCAAATAAGCCAGGAGAAGAAAAAAAATTAAGGGCCTATCACTTTTTATTTCGTTTGTTTAATTTATGCAAAAATAAGGGCCTTACATCTCTTATATAGGGCTAAGGTTAGCCATCCTTTTATATAGTCCAATTTAGACTCAAAAACTTACCAATCACAAAGATAACTGTAAGCTAAGACAAACCTAAAGGGATATTCAAATATGGAGTCCTAAACCAACTTTAAATACTCATAACTAATCCTATTAAACCAGACAAACCAAAAGCAAGTCTAAGAGAGACCATAAATCTAGAAGACTCGAATCCTGTCCTAGATTGTGAACATTCCCTGAGGTGGGATACACATCTGAGTTTTGATGGGTGCTTCTATAGTAATCTAGGTTTATCAGGAATTGGAGTAATAAGAAGTGAAACTGATCACATATTATTAAGCTACTCAGGACCAGTGGGAGGAGACTCTTTGGGAGCAGAATTGTTTGCCCATTTGAAAGGTTTAGTACTACCTCACTTCCTATAACTACAATCTTGTTGTAGAAGGTAGCTGTTAAGTGGTAATTTTCTAGTTCAATCTACAACTTCAGACCCTTGGACTCTTAGAAATATGATAAGAGCAGCTAAGCCTTTGGTATCAAACATGAACTACTTGTTAAACTGGACCTCAAGATCAGCCAACAGCCTAGCTGATTCCTTCGCAAAAGGAGTCCCAATATCTGAACTGATTTGGGGATCTCCAGGACCGGCTGTGTTGCACTGGCTCTCACATTCCTATTCATGGGAAGTGAGCTTTCATCCGTTCATTAGTGGAATCTTAAGAACTGTTATTGATAAAAAAAAAAAAAAAAAATCCATCACAGATCAATACCTCACTAAAATACTTGTTATAATCATATCTCATGTGGAACAAAAATCATGTCAATAGGTTACTAAGAAAACCTATCTAATGACACCAAAATCTAGAAAATGGTAAGTTTTGACACCTGATAAATAGGCTGAAAGAAAAGTACTTGCAAATTCAACTTTTCAAGATTATCAGAACTTTCTATTAGGGCCCTTGAATTATTTTAACTTGAGCTCGTGCATGGGGAACGTCTCCCATACTTGACATGGTAAGATGTTCCCAATGCACAGTTGGGGTGTGCTGTGGGCACGTGTGGGGAGCCAATGTGAATTATTGTAACTCCATAAGATGATTAAACCCATTCCCACCACACCAACAAACTAGAAGTAACTCCTTCAAACTCAAATTGAGCAAAAAATGTAAAATCACAAAATTGCCACAGGTAAAGGGATCTGATGAAACTTGATTTCTTTTTCTATGGTTTCTTTCCCGTTTTCAATGTCTGCATCATCCATGTGGCCAGCATGTAAAAGGATACTAACATTACCAACCATACCAATTAGGAAAATACTGTGGGCTTCCTAGGATTTCTAATCGGTTTTCTTTGTTGCGTATTTTTTTTATCGGCCTTCTTTGTTGCATACTTGCATATTGGATCTTGGTATAGGCCAGATGCCCCCGCATTAGGGGCCACATATTATGGAATGTACTGCCTTTCTCCATTAGATTTAGATAATCTTTGAAAGGAGTGCTATGTACATGTCTTAGGAAGGAACATTAGTCTTTTAGGAGCTTTCTGTAAAATAGAAGAGAAATTGTCCATTTTGGAGTTCTATTTTGGAAGACTTTGGGTCTTCAATTTCAATAATTTTCAAAACCAATAGGCCTTCATGAACCATGCTACCGGTGGCGACCAGTATCTAAGCTGCTGAGCATCCTTTGTGTTTTTTATCCATATGCATAACACAAATCCATAGATACTAAAACAGGAAAGTTCCCTCAGAATGGCAGGATAGTTTTTTGCTATATTCCTGGTATACCCTATTCCAATGAGCCATATTTCCATTTATATTGAGATTTTTTAACCTTTTAAATCTTTACGTAGTTCCATATAAAATACCAACTATGAATACCTTGTATCACATAGTCAGCAATATGAATGCATGGAAAATAACACAGTATCCATCAAAAAAGGAAATTAACACAGTAATCAATAATTCAATATGATCAAGGTTTCAGTTTCCTATGCAATTAGAGAATGTGGTCTTTTCTCTGGTAAGATAGATTTGTTGAAGGAGTTCTGAGATATTGGAAATTCCTTTTCTAACCATATCAGGGAAATGAGGAAGTTCCCATTTGCTTCATTCTGACCCAGAATGGTTGGGAGAAGGCTTCATTGACTTGAATGGCCTCAGTGTAGGAATCATGGAGTAGTTTCATTTGGATCTGTTGAGAGGTATATGGCCCAATGAATGGGCATCTTTCACATAGAGGAGTTAAACAAAGTGGTTATCAGTTAGAATGGTCCATGGTGGCTAAGAGTACAGCAGTGAACCGTTAGCATTGACCTCTCAAAAAGGTCATGCTGAATTCCCATCCTAAAAGTCAAACAGGGAAAAGTCACCAAACTCAGAGTGGACTGCTAATGCCTACTATGGTACTTAAAAATTCACTACCAGAAAGGGGTCGTACTTCTTAAAGGTTTGTTGAATTGCTGTTATTATTTGTCATTTCTTTCTTGATGTTATGACTGCTTGAAGCACTGTTATAGCAGTATATCAGAACAAACTAGAATTCTATGACGTATTCAAGTTGGATCTTTCAATTCACCTCAAATATCTGTGTTAACTTTTTGCATATTCGCTTTGACTAAAAATGAAAAGTTAAAGTAGTTAAAAAAAATCTATATTTTAATCTAACGATCATTTTCTGGCAAAGTAGACAGGCTTTCTGACATTTAGGTTTATCTGGTTTAGCTTCCAAAATTCTAGGTCCATTACCCTCTTTACATCATGAATAATGAAATGATATATCCTGCTGAACAGCCTGCTGACCAGTGACCACTAGCTACTAAAAGTAAATATGTTCTATTTGTTTTTTGAAAATCCTCTAAATTGGCTGATAATACATATTTGTTTTATTTTTTTCTGATCAAGTGGTGATTGCTTCAAATACGCCCCCAGCTGCATGTAAATCTTGTGACTGTTACAATCATTATAAGGTTCTAAGTATGAGTTTATGACACTAGTAGAAATCTTGATAATTCACCAGTTTTTCTACCACTTGAGTCACATATGCATCTAGACTAGCCTGAGCTTTACCTATGGTCAAATATACAAACAGTCATGATTTTCTTTTCTGCATGTGAAGGGCTTCGTCTGCACAAAACATATTAACAGAGGTGATTGAGTGCACAAAACATATTAACAGAGGTGATTGAGTGCACAAAACATGTGAAGGACTTTGACTGCACAACACAAGGAACCTTATATTCTAATAGCAGTATTCTGAAAAGAGGTGATTGAGTGCCTTGTACTGCTTTGGGCCATCTTCTGCTTTATCAAGTGAGGATGACTACAAATATGAGGATATAGAAAACCTTCAAGCCAACATGAAGAAAGGAATGGGAGTGAATTATTACATAGGGTTCTTACATATTGTATGATATGCACTGATATGTTGTGATGTTTTGAACCTTGATTGCAACCTTGCTTTCTTTTGTTTCATTTATATATCTGTACAAATTTCAGTCCTAAAATGATGGTTCAATAGACTGTTGGTTTAAACTTTTAGGTGATGATATTACTGCTTCAAAGATTCTGAGTTTTAACTGATAGAATGGTCTTCATCTAAACAGTGTTTTTGGTATGACAAAAATGCGGCAAGCACAACCCATAAGTTCTGTTCTATATGCAAATCAAGAGCATCTATGAAAGAAAATCTCAATGATCAGATTGACAAGCATTTCATGTTTATGCAGCTCTGAGGAGGTGGGGAAGGGTCAATTACTGATAAGGTGCACGCATTCAATCCTGGTTCAGTTGGATTTAGCCCTAGTAAGACTATGATCATACCTTGGGGCCCATCAAATATTTTTTTTTTGGATAAATACTCATCAAATGTTGATGATGGAAAATAAAAGAATACCCATCAAATATTTTCCATCATCAACATTCTTGCACCTTCGACATTAGCAACCTAAGTTTAGGTTAAACCAACTGATTTTGTCAGTTTTACTCATAATGAGATAGACTGATGACTGAGAACCCAACGTCACAACTCACAAACAAGCTTGGGGCTTGAAATGTTGCTGGCTACCACTGATTTTCAGACGTCAGTAACAACAGCTTTGGCAAACTTGAATTCATACCTTGAAAGGATATAGATGAGCGTCTTGATGCAAAATGAGGAAATAAACATTGACTATGAAAAGATTACCAAATTGAAGAGGATAAAGAAGCATAGATCTAGCATTTAAGTCAACAAATAGAGGTCAGCATCAGATCAATTTCAATGCTGTTCATTGGAGCCAAAATAACCCCCAAATTTGAAGATTACAGAGGGAAAATCAGGCTTGCGAAATTTGAAGAGTTGTTTTTATTGGGGATACAACTGTACTGTTAGGATTCAGTTTATATTCAGATAATCTTATTTAAGTGCAGACAGGTTTTAGACTTTAAGGTAGCACTAGAAATATAGAAATTGTAAAGAGCTGCATTGAGAAGACAAAAAGAGTAGGAAGAAAACAGAGGTAGGTAAAGCCTCACTAGACTGGAATTCTCATACAATTATAGGCTAGAACAAAAAACCAAAAAAAAAAAAAAAAAAACATAATGAGAGAGATTACTTGGTTGGCTGCAAATTTCAGAACCAATTAAAATTAGATTTCACAATCTAGCAATAGTATGGCATATGGGTTAGAAAAACAAACAGAAATTATTTACATTGGAGAATGATTCCCCAAGATGGGAATGTATAAAAGAAAATCAGAGAGAATGTTGGTGGAGACCAGACCAATTTTTGTGGTGCTTGGAACAACATCATTTGTACATCATTCTTTTATGTATAATTTAATAGAATCTTCACTGTTACAAATTAAAAAAAAAAAAACAGATCTTACATACACCTCAAAATCAGACAAAGTGATTGGGGAAACAAAAAAACTGATTTACAGTCTACATAAAATGAGAAGGCGAATTAGCATCAGATTTTCCAGTATCACCTCCCAAGCTCGCAGGGTGCTGTAAATTCTGCAAAACTTGAGGACCCAGAGCACCGAGACCCCCACCCAACCCATCATTACCTGGCCCAAAAAACTGGCAAACAAGCCGGGCCAATACCCCAAGAATCTGCAATTGGTTATGACAAGCATGGGCATGCATTTGCATCATTTGTTTTTCATGCTCAATTTGAAGACCAACCATCCTCTCCCTCCACTCCATCTCCTCTTCCTCCCTTTTCTCCTCCATTTTCATCCTCCGCCGCCGCTCCTCATCAAATTCCCTCTCAATTCGTAACCTCCGTTCATATTCTCTCCTTGCCCACATTCTATGCCTTTCTTCCCACTCAAATTCTCTGCTCTCCATCCACTCATCCCTCTCTTTCAACCTCTCTTCCCTCTGGCTCTCCCTCTCTCGCTTATCCTCCTCTCTTGTAGCTGCTGCCTCCTCTCTATTGAACTCCCTCTCCCGGTGTTGCTCTTCTCTTTTTTCAATCATTTCCCTCAATTCCAAAACCTGTGCACTTATCAGGCCTAAACTATTACCACCTCCCCAATCTCCAGCAGGACCCGCACCACTCCTCTTCATCTTCTTTACCCGAATCAGACCTGAATCTTCCCCATTTTCTCTCTCAATCCCGAATTCACCATCACTCCCTGCTTCTACAACTCCAGCCTCATCATCATCTCCTTCCAAATCCTCACAATCAAGCCCCAACCCAATCCCTAAAACATCCGACCCATCACCACCATCAACAAAACCATCATAACTGAAAATGCTATCCTCTTCCCCACCACCAGCACCAAGTCCCTTATCCTTCACTTCAAGTTCTACGTCACCAAATACCTCTTTGTACTTCAAGAAGTTCTGCCAGTGGTCCTCCCCATCCTTCCAGTTGAACTCATCATCAGAAACCCTAATTTTCTGCTTCACACCAAGGTACTGATGTCGCATGTTTTGGACCTTGATGGAAACATCTCGCCATGACCATCGAAAGGGGAAGTTCACTGGGTCCTGGAGATGGTGGACAGAGTTCACATGGTCTGCAATTGGCTCAAATTTCTTCACTCTGGTTTTGAGCTTAGCTAGGGTTCCTGAGTTCTGGAGCTCAGCATACTTGTTGATTAAGGTTTCTTCTTCTTCCTCTGTCCATTTCTTGCGCTTCATTTCCTATGATCTTCTTTGCTTTTCTGATTCTGAATTCTTGGATTTAGTGTTCTGGTTTCAAGTGATGCTTTCAGAAAGTGGGCTGCAGAGAAGATAGGTTACACCATGATCAAGAATTAAATGATTGGAAGAGATAGTAAGAACTTGTTGAAGCCTATGATTTAACTTTATTTTTTTATCAGAACGGTTTAACTTTATTTTTTATTCTAACAAACTTAAATATGCAAATTAGATAATATTAGATTTACATCTTTATATTTAAAACTTCCCCTTTGCATGTCGTGTTAACCGGTGTCTCAGGGGCCTAGTTCAAGTTGCAAATAAACACCACTCCCAGCATCTTCCGAGCTCCAAAGAGAGCAAATTTAAATGGAAGACGCCAGAATTGGTGAATCACTTCATTCAAAACCCAAAAGGGTGTGCCAATTGCATCTTAACCAGTGCCCTTAGGGTAGCACTTGTCCAGACGGGCCATATATCTGTTAATACCAAGATGTGTCCATAGATGATGAACTTGGGCTAGAAAAGTGTAGGAGACAAAACACAATGAAATCATTTAATCCCGCATAGCAACCAATCGAGCTCTAAGTGATCACTGAAGTGATTAATTTACTCAGGAAAGAAGTTAACAAATCTAAATCCCATTCTTGACATGTTAAATCAAGAAATCATTTCAACTACTAAAACCTAAGCAGGGTACTGTGTTTCCCAACAATATTGTAGCATAGCTAAAATTATAAGAACACAAGAGAGAAGGAAAAGAAGAATATAAATTGGAAATACCTATAAACGTTGAGAGGGCAAGTCAGTACAGCGAACTGGTCATGGACTTCGAAGTCTCTGCTTTCTTTACCAAATGAGCCTGACAAAAAAAAAAAAAAGAAAAATAAATTGAGATCTCTCCGTCGTGTTGTTTTTGGTAGATTATAAGAGGAGGTACTTATTCATACAGATGAAACATGAGAGAAAGCCATTTCGTCGTCAAATAAGAGGGAAGAAGTGAATCAGAGGAACAAAAAAAAAAGAGAGAGAAGGGTTGAACTCCGGAGGTGCAAATCTCACACATTCGCACTCGGCAATTCCCCCTCTTCCCCTTCGGAGACATTGGTTTATTGGCTGTGTATTATTTAGGATAAAATATAAAACCCTCTCCTGTAGTTTCTGACAATTATAAAAACCTACCCTAAATTTTTAAAAAAATACATACCTCCTCTCAGTCACTACTCACTAATCACATAAAATTATGGTTTTGAAAATCGGACCGAACGGTCAAACCGTTTGACCCGAGAATTAGTCAAATAATTACTTCCGTTTCTTTTTGGTTAAAAATCATTGATTTGGTCAGCATTTCACTGAACCGAAGCATTGAACTATCAATCCAAATAATGGTTTTGGCCATTTTATTTTATTTATTATTTTAATTTTTTATTTCAAGTTAAAATGGGCCATTTGTTCAAACTGAACAGTTAAATCATTTGACCCGGGAACTGGTGGCAAGAATAATTCTATTTTAGGTCCAATTTTTAAATCCTTGCATAAAACGCTCAAATGATGCATTAGTTTTTTCAAAATATCTATTTTACCTTTTTTATATGATTTTACATAAAATTTTGGATAAATTATAAATACGTACCCTATACTTTGGAATAGTAACAGATAGGTACCTCAAACTTTTGGATGCAACACTTAGATACCCTAACTCACATTACATTGTATTGTAAATTTACCGAAATGCCTATATATTTTAAAATCATAAAATTTAAAAAGACCAAAATAACCTTATTTAAAAGTTCTATTTGGTTCGGGCATCACTATTGCTCATTGTGGGGAGAAAAAACCTTTGCCACCGCTTGAGAAGAAAGCAAGGTACTAACCCTCCCCCTTTTGTGTTTCCCCTTTTCGTGTTGCTTGGGAAGAAAAAAAAACATCATCATTTGAATCTCTGCCTTCGTATCTCGTAATATTCATGCTCCTTCTCCAGCACTGGGTGAAGTTCTGCCTATGTATTAGCCATGGCCTTGGCTGCGGCCTCGGCATCAACTGCAATGACTCTAATATAAGCTTCCATCCTTCTCATCAGGATACCGAATGGCAACCACGAGACAAATACAGTGATGCATGCAATAATCACTAGCGCTGCCAAAGCATCCCTTGCTGTTGCGCTTCAAGGCACCGAACCCTCGGTGACCTTGGTGGTTACGTGCCCATCAACAATGAACATTGAAGGACGCTTATGTCCAACTCCATCAAAGGTCCTGTCCTTCGATTTTGAATCACTCCAGTCGACTCTGACAAGTCCAATGAAACTATCTCTTTGTTCCAGAAGGACCAGGAAACCAATTTGTAAATTGAAAACCGATGTAAGGGTAATCTTAGACCCTATTTACTCAATAAAATGATCCCACGAAGCCTCAAACGCACGAAGGGGAGGAAACCGTACATATTCTCATAGCTCTCGGATGTACGAAGGCTCTTGATAAATAGGAGCAGAGATTTTGTCTGGACATTATTGATCCCATCGGAAACCAGATCAGAGCGTGAGTTCTCTGTAATAAATCTGACGCTGGTTATTGCCAAAATGACAATGAAAACGAGCACAGAGTAAACTGCTATTGTTCATTTGTTCGTACTCCATTGTTTCTTCACCCATAGTATCTCACATGCATTGATTCTCCACCGTCCACACTCTTGTCCTTGCAACGAAGATAAGAGGGAAGTATGCAGGACTGAAAATGAGAACACTGGAGAGAATTTTCACTACCTGGGTTTTTTGAATCATCAAATGCACCTAGGCAGAGGTAGTTTTGGACGGTTAGATTCAGTTGGGTCTGTTGTGCATGTCTAAAACTATCAAAAAGGTAATTTTGACATTATGAGTACCTAAATATTGCATATGAAAGTTTCAGGTACCTATCTGTTAATACCCCAAATACAGGATGCCTATCTATAATTTACCCTAAAATTTTATTAAAATAACTTTGAAAGAAACTTTAATTTGAATCACCCACTTGTTCTCTCACACCTGAGACTCCATTAAGAAACATTTATCTACTGTAGACTTTCCCACCCCTAAAGCTTCCTTTGGTTCAGAAGGGAGGCAACATTCACCCACCGAGACTTTGCCACTAGGGGTGCCCACGGTTCAGTCGAACCGTGGGGCTGTTTTTGGAACCGAACCAATATTATCAATTTTTGGAAAATCGGTAATTGGAGCTAAATCGAAGCCAGTCAGTTAATAGATTGATCAGTTCAGTTTGTCGGTTTTTCAATTTTTTAATTTTTACAATATATATTATAAAAATATATATAAATATATAATAAAATATTATACATATATATAAAATATTATATTTTAAATAACAAATAATATATCATATACTATAAATATATATTTATATATATCACATATTTATTAATTTATAATATATATAATATACATAAATATATTAAGATATATAGAAATATATGTATATTAGTTGGTTCCGTTAACCGCCGACTTTTTATATTGGTTAACTGAAATCGAACCGATATCTTCAGTTTTTTTTAAAAAACAACGAACTGACCAATTCAATTAATCGATTTTTCAATTCAGTTTCAATCGATTTGATTTTTCGGTTTTTTTTTCCTCACCCCTGTTTACCACCCCTAAAACTTCATCCAATGGAGAAGAGAAGCAATGTTCATAGTTTACCCATTGGAGAACGCAGATAAAGTTCATCTCAACTAAAGATAGAAGCCTTATAATTAAGATTTAACGGAAGTCAAGCGAGTGAACGCACCCCTGAATATGATTTTGTTAGGGTTATAACACGGGAGTTGTTCGATTTTTATATGTGCTTGAATTATTGGCTGCATACGTAAGAAAGATGACACGTTGCCCGGGTAGCTTTCTGTTTTTTTAGGGTAAAATACAAAATTATCCCCTAAGTTTTATGACAATCATATAAACTTCCCTTATATTTTGACTATAACAAAAATCTCCCTTGTAGTTTTGGAAAAAACATACAGTTACTGCCCTTTTCTTATCTTTCCAAACAAATAAGCTAAAATAATACATTTATTTTTTCAGGATAGCAGATTTACCCTTTGTCCTAATCATTCAAAGAGCACCTTGTCGGAGTGTCTCGGTAGTGCCCATTCTCATACGATGTTAGAAACAAAATCGGTTAGGTTTTTATGGGGAACCCTAAGCATCAGCAGTCATCAACAACACCCAAAACTAATTATCGATGACCAACCACTATATAAAAACATCAGGACACACCGCCCAACCAAGACCTAAAAATCTTCATTGCATCAGTTCCATCTTTAGAACCTGATATGGCCAAAACTGACTACCAGTTAAGTGACAATATGTTGGGGGCAAAGTTGTCAATTGATGAGCTAATCTGTCTTGGTGAGCTGACCTAGTTTTGACGAGGTATAAGCTGACCTGGTCCTAACAAGTTGCTCTAACACCAACTCATAACAAGCACAAGCAACATGTGGCTAAGCTGATTAGAACATCAATAACAGTGCACTCCATGCAGGCTCATTGCCTACCATGTGCACATAGCATGTCAACTAATAGTGTGACAATTGGACTAAGTGGATGAAGCCCCTCTCCTATAAATAGGTGAGTCCCCCATTCATTTGGACACAACTGAATTGATAGTACGCTACTATGAACAAGGCACACTGGACACCTTGGCACATGGAGCTCTCAAGCTCCCCCTACGAGCTCTTAAATTCATCACATGGAGCTCTCAAGCTCTCCCTACGAGCTCTTCAACTCATCACGTGGAATTCACTAGCTCTCCCTACGAGCTCTTCAGCTCATTGCATATAGCTCTCCAGTTCTCCTCACGAGCTCTCTAGCTCTCCTCACAAGCTCTCTAGCTCACTTTATTTTCCTTTGGTGATTACTGAGTTAACCATCGGAGTTCACGCCCCTGGGATCACCCGGGACCTCTAACATCTCTTATGGTTGCAAGTCTCTCTTAGTGGCCGAGGTGACACCCTACTCCAACAACTTTCCATCCTTGCCCTTATGGTCAATTTTGATCATCATCAGAAGCCATACATTGGTTTGCGGTTCTGATTACAAGGTCACCCTAGTCACATAAAGATACAAAGAAAGGGAGAGAGGAAAGATTATTTCCGAGGATTGAAAATCTTGGAGAAAACATTGGTTCTCAAAAATCTTCCATTATTGTTTTTTATTATTTGGAGATTTTGATTTTCTCAGAATGCTCGACTATTTCATTAAGGGGGCATTCTTTTTTTGGATTTTGAGAGGGGGAAATTGGTCAATGGGATTTTGGTTCCCATTGACCAAAAATCCCATGTCCTTTTTTCAGATTTATGTGGGCACCAAGGAAAGTTTATTTTCCTAGGTATCACTTACCCCTCCTAGGTGGATAAATAACTTTTCCACCTAGGGGGGAAGTTGCCAACACTTGAATGGGACAAAAATACCCCTTTTAATAATGAATTTTTATGGCTAAAATGGTCATTGTCTTATTTACATGAGAAATAAAAGAACATGGGTAAATGCACTTACCCGTGTAAGTGTTTCCCAAGAAAAACTTACCCAAGTAAGTTCCTGTTTGATGATTAAGTACTCGTTAAAAGAAGTACTTATTTTAACAACCCTTTAGGTTATTTGGTAACCCACTTTTTCAAATCACTTATTATGTTTTTAAGTACTTGTTGGGGTGGGAATGTTTGGTAAGCTACTTTCCCAATAAGTGCTTATATTTATATAAATAACAATTTTAGCCCTCTCCATCTCATACTTCCCAATAAGTCAAATTCCCTTTCTCTTACATTCGGAGCTCAACTCCAGCCAATACTTAATCCATCCATTTCATAGACAAAAATCATTTTTTTCCTTTCATCTCCTTTCCTCTTGATCAGAATTATTGCTTATACTAGTTTTTTTTTTACTGATAATCGTTCGATATTTTATTAAAATGACCCTCTTTTGTTTTCATTTCAGAAATTTCTGTCCACTTTGTTTTCTTTATTGCAGTCAAATATCTGAATCTAAGTCCATATATAGGAAGGAATTACTGGTCTGATGAGCAGGTACACAACAGGATTGACAGGCGCTGATTTGAGAGTTTGTTTTGGGGGTTTG